AGAGCTTCCTATATATTTAGCTTTGATATTGTAATGCTGAACATGAGCTGAGCATGAGCATGAAATTAATATGAAAAGAAAACTTACTTTCTATACATCACTACTGTATAGCTTGAGAGACAACAGCAATGGAGGTGGCCCAGCGTGACTGCCCTGACTCCTGGCAGCAGCTATGCCTGTTCTGTACCAGATGTTCTCTGCAGGGGATTCTTGGATGCTTTCTACAGCACGGTCACAAATGTACTATCAGAGCCTTCCCAGTTCCCATGGGGCCCATGTTTTTCCAAGGAAGGTATTTGTCAGGACTTCTTGATAACAGCTATTTAATATTTTGATGTTATTTTCAGACTGTTTTCCCTTGTTTCATCCTCGCTAATATTTGTCCTCCTTTGTTATCTATACCCTGCAGCTACCTCCAGGTGGGAATCATAACTACACTTGACTATTTCAGGGGGCTGAGCAGCTTCCTTGATGCCTGTGAAGTCCTTACTCCTCCTTTCTTCATTTTTGTCTACTCTTCATTCCCCTTCTACATGAGTTCAAAATACAGAACAGTTTATCAGATTCTGTCCTTAAAATGCCTAGAACTGAATGGAGCCTTGTGGATGGGGATGCAATGGTGTTAAAATCCCCTCAGATTTATCATACTGTAGCTCCTCATGGTACTCTTTCAGTACAGGCAGCTTTAGTTCAAAATTGCCTCCTTTGCTGACCATATTTCATTCCAATGTAATTGCTGTCTTGCTTTTCCTTTGCTCTTGTCTAAGACCGGTGCTTACCAGATCATCTAGCTTAAGGTTTGTGTTTGAAAGGACTTTCCCCAATGCCTCCATCTGCATGTTCCTCATCCCAGCGGTCTATGGGTGACCTGGCCATGTACTGACATTTTCAAGACTGACTATGCTGCACCTTTGCAGTGGCCCCTATTAGTGAAGTTCAGTATCCTCAGGCTGGAGTAATGCACTTGCTTGGAGACCAGGGTTATAACTAATTCATTCTTTCACAGTGATGTACTTAAAAAGTGCCTAGCATGGAAAGAGCTTGATCCCAGTGAATGTTTCTGGTAAAACTGCAGTTGCTAAAGCCAGATTTCATACAACTTGTTGTTTTCCACATGTTTGGCCTTCTGTTATTTTATTTCCCTTACTTTCAGACCTGTAGCCAGTTCCTTGGTGCAGACAGATGCAAGATCGCTATGCCCATGCCAGCAGCTGTCTGGATTATACAGATTTGAGCTGGCTTGAATCCAGATAGCTTTTGTAAGATGAGCAAATGCATTTGCCTTCTGCCTGTGCCTAGAGAAACCAATGTGGTGTTTTGATCAAGCAATGGGAGTTTGTGCCTCAGGACACTGGTGGGGCAGAAACCTCTGTATGGCTGAGGAATTGGCCTTGCCTTCCATCTGCCTATAGCCTGTTTGTCCCTCTAGAGCCTCTGTAAACCTGCCTAGGTCATACTTCCAAGAGATGTGTTCCAGCAGCCTTCAATGGTGAGGGTTTTAACGATCCTGGGATTTCTATCTGTTGCTCCTTTTGGTGTCCTGTCCTCCTCCAGAGGTGAGGAGAAGGAAAACAAGGGTTTATCAAGTTCTCCTAATAATGCAAGACACAGATTTTCCCACTGATGTTATTCCTGCATACCTACTCTGTCACCCATGATTACAGGGTCAGTATGGTGGTAGTCTGGAGCTCCCACCCTTTGATGCGTTTTTCTCCAAGCTATCTTGGATAGACAACTGCACAGCCTTCCTGGATGGTTGTGCAGCCACTGCCTCCCAGAGAGAGCAAGGTCTTTTGTAAGGGACCAAGTTCAGCTTGCTCAGTGCTTTATAAATTATTTGTGCCTTGTGTGGATGCTCTTCTTCAGTATCATAACAGGTTCCGAATTCCTTCAAGTGCTCCTTGGCCAGCTACTATACCCTCCCTGTCTGGCAGAGACCACAGGGCAAAGCCTGTATACAGTTTTGGCAAACAGCTTTCTGGGGCTTCACCACATTCCTTCCCTGTGTTTTCCATGTTCTTGAAGGTAGCTTTCCTTCCTGTGGATTTTTCCTGTGCTGACCACTGTCCTGACCAAGGTCTCAGGGTGCCAAAAGCATTCTTCATTCTCAGTGCCTTCCTGTCTAAAGTCCTCACTCTTCACAGTGCACTGTAGTTCATCTATTTCTGTCATATCCCTTGTCTGCTCTGACATCTGGACAGTCTGTTGTATGCTGAGTATGTGCTGATGATTGCTATGCTCAGCCACTTCATTTACAGCCTCAGGAATGTGAGAGGCCCTCAGAAAAATGCCAGAGGCAAGAATGTGTTTGAAAATTCCTGAAGGCTTTGATAGAGAAGGTATTATTTTCACCCAGGAGGAGCAGCAACAACAAAATTCTCACCATAGTTATGCTAAACTTCAAGAAGAGGAATAACATAAAATGTGAGAGCACATGTTAAAGGTAAGTTGAAAGTTGCAGCTGACAGAATTCAATTGTTATGTACCCCCAGCAGAGAGCCTTCAGCCATCCCACTCCCTCCAGGTAGATCACAGTTGGTGTGGAAAAAGCTCAGAGCCATAAATCCTCCGTGCCTTGGGCTGTCAGGACAAACTTTGGAGGTGCAAGTGCCTAAAATTAGGGTACTAAGTTGATTCCAGCTTCAAAAACCCTGACAGCACTATGGGGACTGGGAATATGGCTTCAAAGTTAAGCAGTCTGGTATGAGGAAGTTCCAGACTTGAGCACATTTATAAGCATGTGATACGATCTTTTATTTTAATTGCATAATCTTATGTTCTTTTTTTTTTTTTTTTTTTTTTTTTTTTTTTTTTTTTTTTTTTTTTTTTTTTTTTTTTTTTTTTTTTTTTTTTTTTTTTTTTAATTTCAAATCTGCCCGGATTTGCATCACAGTGGTGTGGTGATGCTGAAACAGACTGTTGGCTGGAATAACCTGCCCACCCTATGGAGCATTACATAAATGCTCTCAAAAATAGACTTCTTGTTCCTCAGATCTCCAGGCTGAGGCCCTGGATCTCACTGTCTGAGTGAGATCTGACTCAGAGAGAATGAGATTCACTAATGAGTACTTACAGCTGCAACCACAACTAATGACAGCTGCATTTTAAACTTCAAGATAAAATGTTAAGTACTCTGAAAAATCAAGTATTGAAGACTTAAAGGTGATGGGTGCTCTCAATTTACCTAACTCTCAAAATCCCATTTATAAAATAGAAAAGTACCCCACAAAACACAGAGTGGTATTTCCAGGGTTCATTTTTTAGCCTACTCCTTAGTGATCAATACCATAGGAAGATGTGACAGTGGCTTGATACTGAATGAGGTGCTGATTTGAAAACTGTTGGAGGGTGGTAATTTTGCACTAGTGGTCTTCAGATCTCCTGAGGAATCCAGCTTACACTGAGGGTTTGTTTTATTTTTTTAATTTTTATTTATTTTTAACTGAGATTTCTGAGGTGATTTAGATTGGAGGAGGGGAGGGCTGAGGGAGGGAGAGGGAAGCAAGACAAGTGCTTCTCACTTTTCACAAGGTTCATTCTTCTTTTCTTACAGAGATTTGGGTTTAATTAACTTTTTCACTAGAGTCAGAAACTGGGGTCAGCAATGATGGGACTCAAAATTTGGTTACGGCTTTAAGTAGACATAATTATGTGAGAAGATGCTTTTCTGTCTTTCAAAATGTGGTTGGAAAGGGGTTTATAAAAAGCTTTCACAGAGGGAGTCCTGGACAACTCATACTCACAGGATAGAGAACATTCAAAGACAAAAGACTTCCAATTGGACACACAGTAATGAGTTGCAAGAAAAAAACTCCAAAGGTGGCACAAAAGAAAACACTTCTAAAGCTGAGATTTGACAGCATAACACAAGAAGGCAATTAGACTTGACCATCTTGAAACCCCTGTGGACACCTAGAAAGTTCAGCAACAGAAAGAAACAAGAGGAGATGAGCGTTTGCAGCTCTGTCTTGGCAATGAGAAGGAACTAAGTGGCATTCACATCTCAGCAATTTTTTGCTATAGGGTAGAAAACATGCTGACATTAATTTGCACAGAGTCCTAGAAGATGTAACTGGCCAAAAGACTTCAGCCTGAAGAGAATCATGTGCAGCACTTTTGGGAGAATATACCAGTCATCACTCAGGAAAAAACTAGTGCTCAGATGATATCACAGCCAGTCTTTATTGCCTATTGTTCGGGGATAAATAGCTGGTTATCTCTAATGAGAGGTGATAAGTGACTTTCGGAGCTTTCCCCAGGAAAGGAAAGGATTTCAGAAGGAAAATCCAAGTCATCTGCCTTTCCCTGGCTGTATTTTTTAAGCAAGTCAGACTACATTATTGAGATTTTTAAAACATTTTTTATTAATTTTTATTCCTTTTTATATGTTTTTATAGTAAAATAACAGAGAATAACATATTACAATGCATATAGACTGAAGTCCTTCAACAAACTGCTTTAACACATTTGCTTTCTTGCACCATAGCCATCTCTCACTGGAAAATGGAAATTTCAGGAATTATGGCTCATTAGAAAAAAACTCAGAACCTCAGACAAAACAACTGTGAGTGTGTTTTAAGACTCTTATTCTAATCCTCAAAATTCCTTACAAGTAAGGGAATGAATGTGATTCCTATTAATGAATAGAAATTATTCTTAAAATAACTAACATATTTGTTGGCTCAAAACATCCATCTTCTGATACAGCTCATCAGCCAGGTATGAGAGCTGGGTTATGTGTACATTCTTGTTGGACTCCTGTAGGAAGGAGAACTGAGAAGTTCTCTGATGGGAACAGGGGCTATGGCAATCAGATGTGGAACTACACCAGGATCTTCTGATTTGCTAAAACTTCAGTCCCTGGACTAAGGAGAATTTTGCTTGTACCCCAGTATTTTCTGACAAAGTATCTCACTGTCTGTGGACTGTTTTCCCAAGGTCTGGGAAGAAGAGGGAACAAAAGGATGAATTAAAATTTCCTTATCTTTTTTTTTTTTTTGTCATGCTTAAAAAAGCTTTAAAAAGGGAAAACTCCATTAAAATAGAGGCATCCAGCTTGAAGGATTCAAGACTGGATCTAATGGGTCTTTTCCCAGAGAGAAGAAGACAGACTGAGAAGGTGGAATAAGGATCATATGTAACAGGATGGCATAATGGGAGGGAGAGGATAAGAGTATTTCCATACAAACATTCACATTTAACTGCAGAAGGAGAAGGCTAGTACATGGGCTTAAAAAAAAAAAAATCAGTTCCCTATCATAAAAGCTAAATAAAATGTCATTTATATAAAGAACACTTAGGGAAAGAAGAAAAGCATTAAAAGGTGAGAAAGGCAGGAAAAGCTGGAATAAGTGGAAAGGACAGACTGCCTCTGCCCAAGGAAATAGCTGTGGGCTGCAATTAACTAAATGGTACACGACTTCTGCACTGTGAGAGTGCTGCAGTTCTGAACCACTCCTCGGCTTACTGCTGTGTCTAATGGCAGGAGTGCTGAATAATAAAAACTGTACTCTGGACTGCCAACAGGAATTAATTTCCTTTAGCTTTTGGTGCTCAAGCTATATTTTAACTGAAAATTGCTAGCTTTTATTTCTGGAATAACAGTAACAGATAACTATGGCACCGCCATGGATTTATAGCAATGCTTTATGCGTGGGGATCAATTGTTTAGACAGGATTTGCTCTCCTTGCCACAATCACTCCCGGCTCCCATGAACATGTTCAGCATAGGAGATAAAATAGGGGGAGGCAGTTCTTATGCAATGAGGCTTCTTAAGCTAAAGGCGATGACTCCTTTTCTGAATATTATATATTCACATAATACACCTCCTCTTATGAATATTATGTAGCTACAATAAACTTGCTCCTTGCCTGCAAACAAGCCAGAAGCCTTTCCTTAATGCCAGGGCCACAGGGAATCTGGGTGCCTTCCCTGAACATTTAAGTGGTTGTGGGTGCCTCACCACTCAGCTGCCAGACACCAGCAGACACAGATCGATGGGGTTAAGTGGATTCGCTCTGTGCTTGCCTGCATGTACACATTCTACCCTTCCCTGCCTCCCCCCTTGCTCTGCTGTTACTTCTCTCTGGGGACACCGTTTGCCTGCTTGTCCAAACAAGTTCCAGAGCTTGAAATTGCCAGGGAGTGAACAGACAAAAGCCTTCTTACTTATGAGGGGCAGGGTTAAGGGAGACTTGTCCTATGCTAAATACAGGGAAGAGGGAGCAATTACTGCAATATCATTTTCTGTTGCATGTGGCAGGACCGCTGGCACAGTCTGGTGACAGAGCATAAGGATTCTCTGTCTTAATAAGCAGCAAGCATGTCCTGGGGAAGCAAATGTCTCATGTAAATATGTATTGGCATGGGGACAAGTGTCACACAGGGCTTCCCATCAAAGGAGAGGAAATGCAGCATCATTTGGGGGGCTGCTTCTTTGGAACTGCAACCACAAAGGAATGAATAATAGGATTAATTCACTTAGCTATTGATCTCAGACACACACATTTTCATTTGACATTATGAGAACAGCCAGACTCTCATGGTTCATAGCCTGTGGGCAGTACAGCAGAGACAGCATTTGCAAGCCCTTTTTTCCCTATTTGCTGATGAGGTAAATCTTAGCAGCATGTTCCTTATGGAGAGCTGCTGGGGAAGGATCTCCTATGGAAAGCAGCCTAATGTCTGGGACTAGTGACTCTAATGCTGTTCTCTACAGATATACTCTGAGCAAATAATTGGTGGCCCAAATAACACAGGGATCTACCCATGGAAATTCTATATAAAAAGCTGAAGAAAGGGAGGGAAGGAAGAAAACATAATAGACTGATTTCATTAGGTCTGGACATACATGCACACAATATCTCAGCTAATCAGGGAAAAAGTTCAGATACAACCTCTCTGTATCACCATAAATATTGAGGATCTATGACAGTGAGAGAAGAAAGAATATGGTGCAGGGAGACATTAAGACATTTTTCAGTAGTTTCATCACATGGAACATTATGTCTGTTCAGGGTCCCAATAACTTCTTCACCAAATTAATCTGCAAAGTTAAGTTTCTCATAGTTAGCTCTTACAAAACCACCCTGCCCATAAGCAAGTGGACACAAGGGCCAAAAGTAAGTGTCAAAGGTGGTAAAGACCATGCTGGGATCTGTGGAGTCACCAGGTGACACGAGTAGAGATGCTGACACCTTAGATGATCCCAAACTGGGCCAGCTCATGCAGTTCCAGATGGCTGAAAGCTTCCCATGGGCAAATCACGGTGATATCTGCAAAAGAGGGAAAATGACAAATGTGCTCTCGTAGTCCAATGCACTCCTTGGATTTATTTTTTGTTAATGGAAAGGCTGATTTACTCAGGAAATGTTAAGAAGAATGAAATTCCTTTTGAAGGTTAAATGGGCAGATGAGCATTTCCAATCTGGTACTACCTGTCAGACCAAACCAGATCAGTGTACTTTCTCTCTGTGAGCAAAAGCAAGCCAGCAGTTCCTAGTCTCTTCAGAGACTATGTAAACTTGTGTAAAAGTTAATTCCAGTTATGTGGTTTCTCCTGTTCTTACAAAGTACCTGCAGCCAAACTGTGATCTCCTTGAAGACATTTGCAGTTTTAGATCAGATGCTGAATAATTTGACCTACAATATTCAGGATCTGTAACTCTACCAATTCTTCAAAGTTCTGACTGGCTACAGCTTATCCAGTGCATGTTTCTCAATCCCAGATGGGTACATAAAATTCTTAAAATTAGGATTCTGATGACCACACAAATACTTCACCATCTGGGATTTAGTTTCTGTGATTTTTTGGTATTAATAGCTTAGCATTTAACATTTATTTGAGAATCTCATGCTGCAGAAATTCTTAGCCAGAGTATTAGCAGAAAACAAACAAGCACTTCTGAAGCCCAATGTAGACATATTCTGAAGCTGAAGCATACATAAATATGTAGTGTATGTAAGCATAAGCATGAATGTGGCAGCTTGGGGAGGCAGAACTAGTGTTCCCTGTGACCCCGAGAGCTGCAGACAGGCCAGGGAAACAGAGGCACCCCAGAATCCTCTCCCATGATCAAGTCTGTCTGTGCTAGTACTAAAGCAGCACATGACAACAACATCCTGCAGAACTTACCTGTGCCCAACCCCTCCATGCCTGGGATGTCATCTCCAAACCTAGGAGAGAAAAGAGCAGGTAAGGAGTGAGTTTGGGGCAGCAGAAAGGAAAGGGGAGATGCCCTAAACCCCCAGCCAAGGAAGAAGAATTGTGGGTAGGGGATAGAAGAGAAGCAGCTCCAGGCTAGAGAGCTGAGGGGGCAGGGGAGGAGCCCCTTCTGGCTCCTTGCCCAAGGGAAGACACACAGAAGCACAATGTTGCAGTGAGGAGCTACTCAACTAGCAAGGTTTCTTTTCTTTCCAAAATTCCCTTACCCTCTTACTCCTTTTTTGGGGGGCTTGCTCTTGAACTGCCTTGTCTGTCTCTGCTTGAACTTGGGAGGACCCTTGCGCGGTGTTGTGGGGCCGGTTGGAGCATCTCCAGTGTTGAGGTTGGCGGCTGGGGTCTCACTCATCGCTGGGCTGTGTGCAGCAGGCACGTGCCTCTCTCAGATCCCTCTGTCTGCAAGATAACAGCAAGGACTGGCACAACACTCTCCTTATCTTTTCTAGGTATCAGTAGTCAGATGACAGAATTATGGAAAATATAATTGTGACAGGATTAAAGATAATGGTATTAAAGATAAAGAAAGATTGTAATCTGTACAAATTAGGCAGGATAGAGCTGCCTTTCATCTGGCATGCTAGAGTTAAGATGCCAAACAAAGAGCATTTGAGCCAAGGCCAAAAAGACATTTACCTCATGGTGCAATGTCTTGCAGAGTCATGAAGACTGATACCTTAATTTGTCTCAAACACAGTTGCACTCTTGGACACAGGCTGCTGCAGAAGCTTGCCCCACAATTTAGGTAAAATAGAAGTTTCATGCCAATGTTGGGTTTTTTTTCCCAGCTAGCCTTAGAATAGCATTGCTGAGGTTTTTGCATACTGGTTCATGAACCGGACTACTACAGGAGCCACAAAGACACACGCATGGCTTAGAGAAATATCCTGTCCTTGGGAATCACCATGATATACTTCACCTATTCTCATACTTGTGCCTAAGCATTACCTTTAGGACACTGATGGACATGGGATGCTGGGCTAGATGGGTCCTTTGGCTGGAGCTGCAATTAGGGCCCAATGTTTGTCAATACCAAACTTGTGGGAAATAGCACAAGATCATTGCAAGATTACACAGAAGGCCAAGGCAATGCACTAGAGACAATCTTTTAATCAGAAGTTAATTTCACACATTTCTCAGGATTTTTTGTCAATACCAAACTTGTGGGAAATAGCACAAGATCATTGCAAGATTACACAGAAGGCCAAGGCAATGCACTAGAGACAATCTTTTAATCAGAAGTTAATTTCACACATTTCTCAGGATTTAGAGGAGTGAAGCCTGTAACTTTCTCCAGGATGTGCCCACTTTTGTATTTTTGAGCATTATATTACATGTGCTGACCCCTCTTCACCACACTGTATGAGCCAAACTCCACAGGAGATAAATAGTTATCAGGGAGCAATTTCTGTTTGGGAGGTATGTCTCCTGTCTTGGAAGAACTCTGCACTCTGAGCCTTTTGCTTCCTTCCCAGAGAGGACAGCTATAACTCTCACCAGTGCCCAAAGGGAAGCTTCCAGCCCTTCATCAAATTTTGTGCTAATTAGTATGCCATTAGTATTATAATGGTCTGAACAAGTGAATTTATGAATAAAAATAAATGCAACTTCTTTCTTTCTTCCTTGAAGTCATGTTCTTTGCCATGACTGTTATATATCTCCTATCTCCAGGTGTTCATCCCCGTGCATCCAGGCTGATGTAATCGCTGATGGAATTAACTTCAGGATTTGGTTCTAAAGGCTAATCTCATTAGGTCACCATAGTACTCTGGCTTAATCCCTAACATCACCTGCCATGACACTCTGGATTTCTAATCTCGGAACTATAAATACCATCAAAGATTTTTTTCCTTAGTCTAAAGAGAGTTCATTCCTTTGTCCTGAAATAGGCAGAGCATTGGAAAGCAAATCCTTATATACAAGGAGAAAGATCATCTGAGCAAGTCTCCTATGTCACTTCCACATCTATACAAGGTGAAGAGCCATATTTCTGTATCTGTGGCAGTCTGGAAATATTTCATCCAGGGCATCTTTCCATCTGTGGTGGCAGTAGGATGGTTCCAAATGATAGCACCTAGAGGCAGGCTAGTTCTTCTGTCGCTTGTGGTCAGGCTTCTGTCTCAGCTGTAATATCCCAAGCAGGAGACTGGACAGGTTCCAGCAGCCCCAAATGGAGCAGCAGATGGTTATGTCTGAAGCTGAAGTATGCACAGATGCTATTCCCCCGCGTGTAACACAACGCTTCCTAAGCACACACTGTGCCCACAAACACAAGGATCAGCTCAAACTGTGGAAGTTACTTATTTGGCTGCCATCTCTGCAGCGCCTGAACAGTTGCCCAGTATTTACAGCTTTCTCTTTTTCCTCACAGCATGGTGGCAGAACAGGCAAACACTGTCACCTTCTTCTTTTACAGCATGAGAATTGAAACGCAGTGATAGGTATGACCTGTACTGCACTGCTGGGAGGAGAGATGAAATCTTTTGACTCACAGATTTTTTTGGGCCAGACTGAGAGATGAAGGCATTTTGCTTCCAAAACAAAGACAGAATTTGGTCCCTCTCTGTTACTCAGGATGGGGAAAAATTCAGATGATACTGCCCTACTACAGAAATGCTTTGCATCAGAAAGCTGCTCCCCACCATGTCTGCTAATGTGCCAAAATCTATTATAATGTTTGCCTCAGGTGCAATTTTCATCAGTAAGTTGTCTATCTCAGTGTTAGACCCCCACTTCTGAACTAAAAGAGATGTGCATCCACTTTAAAGCACCATGTTAATCCAAGTTACTTGGCACTCCTCTTGAGGGCTAGTCCCAAAAGTACAGCAGAGAAAACAATCTAGCTAACAGATTTCCACCCCTTGGGACTGACATCCAAAACTTGAAAGATGCATTTGACCTCCGTCTCCAACTGAATTCCTGCCTGCTTCAATAATCTTTACTATGCACAGGCATGTTACCTTAACAGCATGACTTTGAAGGTCAAAACATCTTAAATCCTTGAGTCCACATTTTGCCCCTGACTTCACTCAATAGAGGAATATCTAATGGAAAGATTCAGCCATTGAATTTTCTTTTTTCCCCAGTCTGAAGTAGTTGTATCCATTTCCCAGATATTCAATAACCCAGGATTTGGTAGGAAAAAGGATCTGCACAAATCGTACTTCTCTCACCTGCATGAATTCAATAAAGAGCACTGAATGAAACTATTAGCTAGGAACATTTTCAACATTAGGGACAATTCTAATTTCTTCATTACTAATCTGCTTCTGTATTCTCCATGCATCACTAAAAAACAACAGAGAATGGAAAGCAACCCTAATGTCACATAACAACTTTCCTCTTGCCACTGAAATCAAGCTATCTTTCCACCATGGAGCTGGTGGGTCTTGTTTGCCATCATTAGAGTCAAAGAATTCTCCGTGCTGGAGTGGGCCCAGCCCCACAGCATGGAACCTGCCCCAGTTCCCACACCTTGGGAACAAACTGCTCATACACACAGCCAGACAAGCACCCCAGGATCACAGATAAGAAAGAAATGCCAGTAGCAGCTTCTTCCCATGGGAATTTCACAGCCTTTTGTCTTACCATACCTGGTTACTTGGATAGTCCTTGGTACCAGATCAAACAGGTGGCTTGATAAATGTTTTGAGTCTCCTCTAGATCTCTGCAAGAGCTATGCTGCCTTCTCCCAGTGTTTCCTGGTCTGCCAGAGCTCTTTTGCTTCTGCCAGCACCAGCTGGCAGCTCCTGGGCAAGAACTGATGTCTGTGGATACAAAGACTGTTGAGGCATAAGATCCTATGCCATGTACTTCCTCTGCTCCCTCCTCTGATGAGGTGTTACCTAATTGCCCCTGACAGCATTTCTGCTCAGTCAAGGGCTTAATCCTCTAGGTAAGAGCTTTGCTTGCCTCTGAATGCTAATTATACCTAATACACATTAATGGGCTTATCTCAGTTGCGTCAGAAATCCCACCTCGGGGTTGTTGGCCAGGTTAATCATCCTTCTTTTAGTTTTATTTAAATTTAAAGGGGCTTGAATACTACTGACAAATGCTGACTCTTTAATCTGCCCCATCCTTAATATCTAACTCTCTGTGGAAAATGACCCTGGCAGATAATGTAGACGCCTCACTTGATCTTCTTTTCAGACCATATTGGTGTAGGAACTCATCTCCCCCGTCCAAAGCTTTCAAACATACAGATTCCTCCATGTGAGCTTGTCATGCGCTGCCTCAGGGTGTCAGACACAGAAACTCTGTAAGCCATGGCCCTCCATGCAGATATTCTTGCAGAGACATACATCCTTGTGCTCGCGTTGTTTTTATGAGTTTTTTGCATGCTCAGCTCTTGGCCTCGGGAGAGCCAGTAGCATCATATCCTTTCAGGCTTTTGTCAGGCAGTATCAAATCCAGGGCCTCTGAGGAGTCTCACAGCTCCAGTCTCAATTGCTTGAGGTGGCTAATCATAGTGATGGGGAAACGTCCATGCAGGTTCAGCCCTTTCTGCTCCTGTGTCTTACACAGGATTTCAAATCCTTCATCCTGGCAGCAGTTTTAAGACCAAGAACAGGTGAAAGAGGATGCACTCTAAGAGACAGAAACTCATTTCCAGTAGAACTGTATTCCCAAATGGGGATCACTGGAAAGACTATCCACATTGAAAGAAGGGATTCAGTAACAGCAGAGGTACAGCATCAGGTTATAAATTCCTCATTGGTGTGCCCTGCAGGTGTGGCTGGGCACGGGGGCAGGAAACACCAGCTGCCCGTCCCAGCTGCTCCTCAGTGCTGCTCTCATGCACACTCAGCCAGCTGAGGACACAAGGCAAGGGGGTTCCGGGGAGCCCCAGCCGAGGGGTGACCAGCATGAGGAACTGAGCAGCCCCTGCTTGTGCAGCTGGGGAACTTTGATACAAATCACTGCAGCAGCACCTGCCCTAATTATACGGGAAGAAGAAAACAACCACGCAAGAATCATAACTCCTTCTCCCAGCTACTGGATCTGTTCACTCTCTCCAAGTACAAACATCCAAATTTTTCCCCCATGGAGTTTTACTTGGACTTTTCTCTCCCCTGGGTTTTTCAGCTAGTTTCTTTTTCATCCCCCTCTCCCCCCTTGCTAATGCTTTGAGCTCCTGGGGAACACTTACAGTGCCAAGGGCTCCTCTTGTAAATCATTCAACTCCCGACCTCCAGCCTGCGTAGAAAGAGTCTCGAGGTGTCGTTTGTCCTCCAGATATACCCTGCCACCAGGTGACATCAGGGCATCAGTTGTGGGCGGGCATCCACATGGCAGGGGTGAAATGAGGGGAGCACGGTGAGACCAGAGCTGTACAGGCACAGCTCCAGCAAGGTCTGAAGGAGCAGCAGAGCCTCGGCACATGCCTGAGGGGTGACGTGCCCCTTTCTGCAAGAAGGTTGTGTCTTCTCTGGAGCTTCTGGGGGGACATCTCTGGAGAAGCAAAGAGAAATAAAGAAATAACCTGCCCTTTGAGTGGTGCTTCTTCTTAGGAACATACGTGTGTGCACATGTCAGGGAAGGGGAGATTCCCAATCCCTCTCCTGTGCTGGTGAATGCCCTGAGGGATTTCCAGTAAACTTCCCAGAGGTGCTTCAGGGGCAAAGACACACCTTACAGAGTGATGCACACAGCTAGCCCAGTGTTAACAGGGCTGAGTCCGCTCAAGGAAGTCATAGGGAATGCTGCTGGGACACTGCCAGGGCTCTAGTGAAACTGATGGGAAGGCAGGGAGAGAATGGGAACATCTGTGTTGCACATGGGTGGCCAAACAGTCCCTCCTGAGACCCAAGGTGTTGGGCTGAGGTAACAGCTAGGTCTCATCTGGCTACCAGTAGCATTGCTACTGTGAGTGCCCCCAGAGGTAGAGCTCAGCCCATACTCCAGCCCATCACAACTCCATGTGTGGTAATGCTTACTATTTTATACCCAGTCCTTGGTATCTCCCATGTGTTTTAATAGCCTGTTGTAACTGCCTGGAAGATCAGTGTCAGAAATGTGGAAAGAGTTGGTGGAGTCTCAGGGTGAAAAGAGAAGGTCCAGAGTCCTGCAAAAAGGTGCTGGAAGATCATCCTCATCCTCAGCTGCAGCAGTGCCTCAGCCATGGCCTGTAACTTGTTGGAGGTAAAACCACAAGGTTAACAACCCTCAGGGGCTCTTGGCTCTAGTGAAGCACCTCACACTTACCCTTGCTGAGCATCCACCTCACTGCACAAGATCAGGGCTGGCAGGACTGAGAATAACCCCTGTAAATGGAGGAGCAGCAGGAGAATCAGAGAAACACAAGGGCAGAAGAAAACAAATGTGTGGGTTTGTTTATGATGGATGGGATTTGCCTTTGGGTGGGGTTGGAGGAGGGGATTTTGCAGCAGCCAAGCCAGCCAGGGGTGTGACTGTGTGGACCAAGAGGGGACAGTCTCTCACTGATGGGACAGATCCTGGCAAGGAACACTGGTGCTGAGCAAGGGTCCCATAGCTGAGGCATCTGACCTTTCAGATGGCTGAAGTTAGACAAGATAAATCCTTCAGTGAGACTCTTAGCTTACATTGGAAAAATCAATAAGGTCCTAGCCCTTGAGTGGGCACTGAGAAGCTGGGAAGTAAATCCTAGATGTAGCTGAGAGGCTTTCCATCTAGCAGAGAAGGAGCAAACACACATTCCCGCACATTTAAGACAATCACACAGCTTTCAGAGGCTTGTGCAGTAATTTCTGGGCACAGGAAAGAGAACGGGGGCAGCATCTTGTTGTCATTCTCTCTTTCCCTGTGATGACTAGAACTTGTATACAATGTGTGGAGATTGATTGCACTCATCCTCATCTGACAGCAGAAGTGATTACTGTGGGCAGGGACCTGCTTGTGTAGATATAGAGGTGCAGCCTGCTGGCAGCAGACTCACTCCCATCCCTGCTGCTCATTCCCATGCCTCCATCTGCTGCAGACAGGTTTCCAGGGACTCCCCCTCCCCTTCTGCCCTTTTCTATGCAGGTGAAGTTGCTGGGGAAATCAGCTGTACAGCCTTGTACTGCTCTTTCTTGAGGCTTAAAAATTTACATATGTTCAGGCTGTTTGTTTTCAAAATACTCCCTTTGTTTTCCTGTTTTTCCAATGAAATCTGTCTTGCTTCCTTTTTACAAAAAGTGGACTGTGGGAAAAAAAAATTTCCATGGTATCACATGAAGTTATTTTTTTTACCACTGACAAAATGTGACAGAAACTCCCTAAATGGCCCCACTGCTCATGTTCTTTCTTATCTCCTAGGATTATCAGTCCTCTCTCTCCATCCATACTCTTTCTATCCCTTTCCCTCACAACGTGGGTGACATTTACTTTGCAGAGTGTGGGTGCACAGCTTCCTATCAGAGCAGGAGGCACCTGCTTCATGTTTGTGTCTGGCTGCTGCACCAGATGGATGACAAGTCCTGCCCAGGGACTGAGAACCCAATCCCTGTCCCTCCCTGCCCAGGCTTTTCTTCCCCAGAAAAGCCAGTGCCAACTTTTTTGGCCACAACTGTTGCCATTCGATCCAGAGCAGAGCTGCAGCAGAAACCATGTGGTGGTAGCAGGAATGCAGTCCTCATGGCCTCAAAGGAAAACTCTGGAGCTTCATCACCTCCAGCCAGATTATATTCTGTTCCTAAGAATCACTTAAAAAACATCTCCAAGGTTTCTGACCCTATTTATGAGCTGGTGTAGCAATGGAAACCGTAGTTATGCCAGAAATAGCAGCTCACTTGAATGACAAAGAAAACACAAGTTTACAAGGCAGTGATTTTTCCAGAGGCTGACTGAGCTCATGGGACTGTGGGAGGAAATCCCAGCTGAGGCACAGACTCAGGGATGCAGCTGATAAGGGCTGTGGTTGGTGTGGGCCACAATAACTTTTGAAATGTGTCTCGACAAACTTGTGCCACATACTTGGGAGACTTTGTGCCTTATTGATAGAGATTTATCACTTACCACAAAGATACCTAACTGGAGGTAAGCAGAGATTAATCAGGCAGTAAAATGTTGGTTTCCCTTTGGAAGACAGGCAGCCCACCAAGTGCCTCTGGATCCCTGGTGAAGGAACTATGGTAGGACCTGGATTTAGAATGGGATTGTCTATTGGTCTCATAGAAGATCAGTGAGTTTGTCATGTCAACAGTGTTTTGGTGAGAAACTCAGTGTAGTAAGGTGCCTGCAAATGAGGACTCACATGCTGTAGTCCTCCTCCTGCAGTGCTGACCATGTTCCTAAGCCTCATGTCATTTGTGCTAGTGCAGAAAAGAGAAACAGATACAGGGGATTGGGCTTTCCCTGGCACACATATTTGGTTGTTTGAATACATGCAAATCAGTCCATTAAAAATGCAGAGAAGAAGGCACGCTCTGAAGAGTTTTATCATTTTTCCTTCAGGAAATCTTGCACAGTTATTTTGGTGTCAGGATGAAGCATCTATAACAGCCTGCAATAAACTGGGTGTGCTGACTTTGGGAATCTGTGCCTGCTGCTGGATACAAAATTTGTGTTCAGTGTCACTGAGCTCAGCTTGCAGAAGAGACTGATCTTGATACTCATTTCTACTCATACCCTGGAGACTTCTCTTGGAATAGGGCAGCAAGGAAAGAGGCTGAGGTCTGTTTTTCCACCACAAGAGCTGGAGAGGGAGAGTTCCATGACCAACCTGTAGGAAAGGATCCTTTGAGGAAATACAAATCAAGTGATAGGATTTTGCTGAACTATCAGCAATGGCCCTGTCTGTGATACAAATTGGGTATTGGGGACATAACTAAGTCCTCAAGCCAAATGGCCTTTGCAAAAGCTTCTTCAGGAAAAATGAAGCCCCTGCTTTTCTTATTCAGTCAAGGCTGCTCGACTTGCACATGTCAGAACACCACTACAGGCCCCAGGCTTCCAGGCACAAATGCTTCAGGACATTCTGGTGCTTTTTATAGCAGATGATATAAAACCATGTAGTCTATCCTACACTTCATTAGTTACCAGAGTTATATTTTCCTCTCAGTAATAAGTCTGGCCTTTCTTGGAAGAGATAACGAATCTTAGCATCTCACACTTACAAGACTGCTATGTTAGCATGATTTTAGTAACTTAAAGAAATGTTTCCCTGATTGGTATAAATCAGGAAAAGGAAAACCAAAAGAAATCTCTCTCTCTTTTTTATTTTTTTTTAATATCCTTTTTCACCATCAGATCTCAAGAGAGAGAACTACATTTTTATCGTTCTTATTTGTAAATATAGAAGGGATGGTGGAGAGAAAATTCATAGACCTGCAGATGAGACTCAGCCATGCAGGCATCTGCTGAGGAGACTGATGTTCTCGGCCATGCAGCACAAAAAGCTCAGTCATTTCTAATTACTTTGTGATTAATTGTTTAAGAGCATCCCTATGCTCATTGCAGAGCTGTCCCAAGAGAAAGCAATATCATTAGTGAGCATCCTTTCTGTGCACTAAGTTTGCTTAATGTCTGCATCCAGGCTCCTGGTAACGACACAATAGGACTGACTTTGTTAGATAATTTTAAAAAGAATCCTTTCTTTCTTGTTTTTACTCTGCCTACAATTAAAATTTTAATTTATAAGATTTTTTAATTTATAAGATTATTTTTCTCCTGAATAATGTTAACAGTACAAGCTCAACATTCATATCTTGAACTTAGCATTTTTCTCTTTTTTATCAAACCCAGGTAGTTAATCTGGTTATCAATGTGACTGCTATAAATCAGAGCCTGTGGTTGCCCTTAAAAAAAGCACAGTTTCCCCAGTATTGTCTCAAGAGTCTTACTCAGATTTTACTTTCTCATAATTGATTCCTTCTGTATGAATTACATGCCATGTACCTGTGAACAGTGATTAAATGGTACACTAGCACGCTCTAAAATCATGCATTGAATTAAACAGAGAAGTAAAAGTGCCTTGTTAAAAAAACAAAAAAAAGTATATTTTTATTTAAACAGAAATCAGAAAATCAGATAGTTCCAGAGCTTTATTCAGTTTAAAACAGTGAAGCAAAAGATTCAGTGTCACTGGGCTACAAAGAAGAAACTGTATACAAGTCAACTCCAGATGTCTTCTTTCCTGACAGCTCCTTTTCTCATCTTTTTTTTTTTCCTTCTTTTTGAATGATTGATTCTTTCTCCTTGGCAACAGCAGACCAATAAAGGAAGGCCTCCCTAAACATTTTGGTAAAATGT